TTTAAAGGTGAAAAGACAGCTTATTTTATCTTTCTAATCATTCATTTTTTATTAGTTCATAAATGTCAAACAAAATTTCTTGTAGACTGATGTAATGTAGCAATATGTATAACAATACATATATAATGAGGTATATTAATAGCTTGAATAAATTATAGTAATATGGGGCCAATTCTTGTTTCGGTGATTGGTGCATAAGATATGATAGGTAAAGTTAGTACATTGGTGCATTTTGTAATTCCTTGTTTGAAGTGGAACATCAATGAGGTCATTCACGAGACAACAAACACAAATAAATAATCCAAGACAAAACTTAGAGGAACAGCTAGTTGATAAAAACAATATGGACTTAGAAATCAGTACCATTTAAGATAAAACTAGTAGCAAAACCACCAACCAATTTCGGAACAATGGAGATGAGACACAGATATGTTAATGGCGTTGGATACAACCATACAGAACAATACACCCTGTAATTGCTAATATCTCATGGGAGAATTTAATGCTACCGTCACATTTGCATTGCAGTCATGTGATATCAGAGCAAAAGATGCTAGGAGTAGTGCGTATCGATTTGATGAGATGAATTTACAAAAATATGCACAAAATAGCTTTGGGCTGAGGATAGATTAGAGATTAGACTGGGTCAGGTCTGGTCAGGCTTCAGCCCAGTTTCATGCTGGTTCACATTCGATGGTCTGGGCTGTCAAAAAATATACAATAATTGGGTTCGATTCAACCAGTTCTTCATCCAAAAATTAATTAATCACTCCCACGAATAATTCATCTAAATAAAGTTCTTCAATTTTATTTTTTCCTTTGTGATCATGGTTTTACTACATTCCCTTTTACTTGAAAAATATATACCAATTTTATGAACGGATATGGTGGTGTTCTTGTAACTGAAATTCCAAATAGAACAAAACGTCAAAGTGATTTATGAATTTGTGTATTCATTTATTTTTAAATATTGAAAATGATTAGAAAATGCGAAAAATAAAACGTGTTTGACATGTTTGTCTAAAAAAGAATAATTGAAAACATGAATATTAAAACCCGAAAAATGAAAACGTGTTCCACATGGTTTTCTAAAACAGTAATGCTAAACTTACCGATCCAACTACCGACTTTGACATACCTACCCAACTACCCAAATCAAAATTCGACTCAATTCACATGAGTCGGTATGTTAAAGTCGGTAGTTAGGTCGGTAAGTCTAGTATTATATTTTTGAAAACATAATGAAAAATATGAATTTGTCACTTACACAATTGATAAAACCCCAATTGGTATTAATAATGAAATGATGAATTAACCTATTAAGAACGAGTATACATTAAAATATTTTGATGCACGAAAATATTTTTATGAATTTAAACACTCCAAAACATGTTTCTTAAGGTCTTTACGCGTACGGCAACCAATAGAGAGTAGAGCCACTGCTGAATGATTTGTAGCCCCGATTCGTTTGTTAATGGACTCACCGTCCACAACTTAACACGTCTGAACTGGAATATCGAATTTCTTAGTGTTTTGAGTTTCACATTCCTTTTTATCATTTTATTTGTTTGGGCTAATGCGGGTGTCTTTTCAATTTAATACAGCACTTGTTAGATTCTCCTACTCTATACATAAACACGATTGCGCACTGCTCTTCTCTCCATCTTTTCAGGCGTTCCCAGAATTTATTATTTTATCAACATTAAAAACTGCTACATATTTTCACCAAAGAATATCTCTACTAAACATGGATATCCTTCACAAAAGCTTCACTCTTTCTTTAAACCCATTAACGCCCCAGGCTGAGGCTGAGCACAGAAACATCGAAGACCAAGTGATACTGAATACACTTCAATGATTGTGTAAACAGATTTATCGTTTCTGTTCCTTCTCGCTGATTTCATTTCATGGTTTTACAACTACATTCCCTTTTACTTGTAAAAATATATACCGATTCTTTGAACGGCGAAATATATAGCGTCCTGGATATGGAGGCGTTTCTGCACTGAAATTCCAAACTTCAATTTCAAATGAAACAAAATGCAGAGTGATTAAGGCCTAGTTTTATTTTAATCACTACCGTCAAATCAGTTGTAATTTCTTGTTCTGAAAATTCAACGCATAGTTAAAGCCATGGATTTTTAACACTTGCGTTGTGAAGAAAACGCGACGCTGGAAAGAAATACGTAAACAAAATATTATAATTTTACTTTATGACATGATATTATGTCAATCCCAACAATCAAATGAGATAATAAAACCTTACAAGATCAAAGTAATGAGTAATAAAACGATGAATAACATACTGAAAGAATATTTATGAAACTAAAACACTCCACGAACAGGCATCTCTTAAGTTTCTTCACGCATACGGAACCAAGAAGATGAATTACTGGCAATAAACTTTATCCAGCAAACCCTTTTGAGCAGAGCCATCCTGAAGGATTTGTAGCCCGGTTCTTTACTTCACGGAGCCACTGCTTCCACCAACGAAGCTTGACATCTTTCTTATCTTATGCTTAACACGATCGATATAATTCGAGAATGATCGTCATTCTTTTGTTCACCAACGTGAAGTATTCTTTCGTTCACCAACATGTGAATTAGTAGCTGTAATCTTCTTCTTCGCATGATAAATGAATTACTAAATTTATCTTCAGCATTTTCTCCCCATTTGTTACTTTTCACTCTGTCATTTTGGCACCAGTCTTGCGTCCTTCACCATGCTGAGATGATAAGGCACAAGTGTGTTAGGCTTCTTTTGAACTGGAATCATTAGAGATGGAGCTTCTTTTTTTGGTGCAGGTGGTGTTTTTGACTTGAGTTTCTCATTCGGATGAGCAGGAAGACTTGAATTATCATACTTGATGGAAACAACTTCTGCACATCTCTGTTTTTTGGTGTATTGAGGGGTTTTACTGGTTGGAAGGGTGGGTGAAGGCATTGGATGTTGAGGGTTGGTGAGATGCGACGAATTGTTCGGAAGGAAGGGCTGATATTAAGGCTTTGAAGATTTTCTCACAGGTGCTGTTGTTTTTCTTTTCCATTGATGTGAATGAAAGTTGAAGAGATATTGGAGATTATAAATGTTTATGAAAGAACTAATACAAAACCAAATTGCAAAATGTGAGGCTGACGAAATTGGTATTTATACTGGCAATTGCCACCATAAGTGTAAAGAAATAATATAATATTAAACAACCTATTGATGTGAATCCTCAGGGAATAAATTAAATTTCGCAGAAGAATTCAATGGAGAAACTCGGGCAAGATTCCCAGACACTGATATTTAAAGAGTAAAGGGGACAACTTTCCCAGTTTTTCAAAAAAGGAAGGGATGGCTTGGGATCATATTCCGTTGTTTTTCTAAAACTATCACCTTGAATCAAACAAAAAATAAAGCTTATAGAGCACGACTGATTAAGAGATATAATAGAGCGTAAAGATATATTAGCAACGTTAAGACGACTTCACTGAACGTCCGAAGGCATCAGATGCCTTGGTACTGTAACTACTTCTTTACCAAATTCAATCAACCGGAAAGATTGAGCTCCAAAGAAAGTTTTTGAGTTTTCTTGTAGCATGGATTGGAGTGTGGAGGCAGATTCCCATCCATCTGTGAAATTTCTTGTAGTAGTTGATGAGCTAGACCGAGTAAGAAAATAAATCAGCACATATGCTTCCTAGTCACCCAGATTGACAATCATGAAGCAACTGCAACTTTAACACCTCTGAATTCAGACTTTAGACGCGAAACTGGAATATCGACTTACTCTGTTTAAGTTTCGCATTTCCATCCTCTTCATTTTTTATATTATTGTTTCTCGGCTACTGCGGATGTCTTTTCAATTAACAACTCGTTGCTGATTCTCCTACGTGTACATTAATATAATGCGCAGTGGCTATATGTCCACGAGTAAAACACTTTTCCCACCAAAAAGTTTCAAATACCATTTTGTCACCCAAAATTTATATTATGTAATATCCAAAATTATTTCACTTTCACGGCGTTTGATGAGTCATCAAGATCCCGGGTAGGAGGATTTTGTAAAGCGGAGGCTGGTGTTCGAATGGTGGTGATTGATTGAATATTCGTCATCGGAATTAGTCAAAAATCAATTAAGAATAAGAAACCTTAGCTTTACGGTAACCGACAATGATGAGAAATCAAGTACCGAAGTGAGAGGGTTTTGTAGAGAAGAGACCGGAGATTCAAATGGGTGACAGAGAGAATTTTCGCACCAGAATCGGGTTTAGGATTAATGAAATATAAATTTTGAGTGAGAAAATGGTATTTTGAAACTTTGGGTGAAAAAGTATAATTAAGGCAAACCTTCAGTGGAAAAAAGTCGTTTACCCGTCCGATTATTTTGTGATATAATATATAAAACTGCCAACTATTCTCACCAAAGGATATTCTTCCATCTTCTTTGTTATCTAGAGAGATCAATTATAATAAGAATATTCAGAAGATGGAAATTTTGTAACAGAAATAGAATAAAGTCTAGGCCAGACATGCTTTACGCTCACTACCTTATAATCAGGATTTATGTTTTGAGGAAAAATCTCTCAATGTACTCCTCGCCTCTCCAAGAACGGGTACCTAATTATAATTCCATTGGAAGCAAAGCCAAGCCAAGGCAGTTTTTATAATCCCACGGAGCTTGCACATTCTGTGCTTATATGTACTGACAAGATATCCCATTATATCATATAGTAACCATATAATGCAAAACAGCACAATATAAAATAATAGCACCAGCATATATCACTGGGATCTTTTGTAAACTAATTAAAACAATCATGTTTGGTTGGGATATATTTTTCAAAGGGAAGTAAAAATCTCTAAATATTTACCTAGGAATGAATAATGAGGAATTTACAAAATATTTCAACCGATTGGCATTAGAAGAGAATTTTACACCTCCAGAATCTTAAATTGGTAAAAAGAAACAAGATTCTGATCATATAAGTTTTTCATCTAGTACAGTTGTTATAGATCATAGAGCCGTAACTTCAATGGCGGATGTCTTCACCACCTGTTCAATTCGTCTCCGGCATAGAGGACAGCTGGTTAAGTGTGAGGAGCATGCTGTACAACAAACATATGACCACACCTGCAGATCATAAAGGGTAGGGAACTCATTCAATTCAAAGGCCACAAGTACTCAAACTGTCCAGGAAAGGAGAATTATTCCATAAAGTAAGTCTTTGCTACTAATGCAATCAAATGAGAAGATAAGGGTAGGACAAACGAAGAAATACAAGCTCTGCTATCGAATCTGTGATATTAGGTATTCAGGATAAAAGAAATGTTTATTGTGACAAGATGATCAATTTTCGTTTGTGATCAAAACTAAAATTCATCTGGCTTACGCCAATACGAAAGAGATAAAACTACTAGATATATACCCTTGGGAGAAAAAGTTAATGGCATCTATCATTTATTGCCAAAGTGCATTTATATTAGGAATGGGCCCTATACTACATTCTTGTCTTCGAGAATAGTTAAGAATTTTGCAACATGGCATTGTAACCCAAACAAATAGGCAATTCAGCAGTCATATAAATACACAAAACATACTAATGTAACTTACGGGACAAAAACAGCATTGTACTCATGCTCAAGGCATATACACACTATATCTGGCATCACACGGTCTCTCTTAGTACCATCTGATCCATTCTCAGATGTTCCATTTGAAGCTGAAAAAACAGAACATTAGGACTGAATCATATCCAAACAAATTTTCAAAAACAACAATTACGTAGAAACCAGCAATTTACCTTCACTGTCTCCCTGATCTCTTAGTTGCAGCAGCAAGAACCCTGCATGGGCAGGTTTTACAACTCAGTTGTATGATGAGATAGAGCAGAGAAGAGAGTAATTCACTATAACAATAATGTTAGATTCTTTGATAGATAAAAAGGAAGTAGAATTTACATCAGTTTGAAGGATAACGTAATTGACTGCTGAGAATTGTAGAATCATACAGATTAATTTTTGCACAAGAAAGTGATGGTATCAAAACGTATTTTGCCAAGCTAATAGTCCCATCCAATACTAGACTAAGATTTTAAATATTTATTCAAATCTATCTGACAAGCAGTTTACAACTGTATATGACTGTCAATATATATATATATATATTTGAAATGAAAATCAACTTATACAATATATCCAAACATCAACCTGTTCTGACCAACTAGAATTTGAAGGCTTAGACCTGACCATACTTAGGTGGCTACATCAACCCTACCCATTGCCATTATACAGCTGAATAAAGAAGAATTTCTCAAATCTATTTTGCAAATCTACAATAGTTACCTGACTTCCAATGATGGCTCACGTATGAAGTAATTAAAAACAGAAAAGAAAAACACCCAATCCACTATATGGATAACATCCACGTCCTGAAACTAATTGGACATGGCTAATACACAAATGCACCACAAAATTCAAGAAGACTATTCTAATCCCTACCAGCTTAGGAGAGCATAAAATTGCACAAACAATCACCTAATGAATTACAATACATAATGAATAGTCAGCAGAAGAACCAGCCAACCAATGTCTGAGCAAAGACACAGCTTGTAATCAGTAGAGAGAACAACAGTGCAACATATTCAAGAATGCATATAAGTCAATTCTTGTTGTATACAGTCTCCATACGCAAATGATGAAATTCAACCACACATACCTTCTCTGAAATTCCCAGCGGCGCTTTCTTTCCAAGATATATTGGATAGAACGCTTAGCGATCAGAAAAACGCCAAACACTGTCAAACCTGCAGATGCATACTTATACCACCTGGTAAATAAACCTTCATTAAATTCCTTTTCTTCTCTCATGAATTCAACAACATAAATTTATGTAAAAGAAATTAAAAAAAAAATAAATAAAAAAAATAAAGGAGGAGGAAGCAATTCTTTGCAAGTGCAATAAACAACCTTGCCCATTTCCCAAGGTTTGCAATGAGCTCATCAATAGTTTTTGGAGAAACATAGAAAGGGCCTTTGTGTGGCCGTTGTATACGAACTGTTCCAATATCGTCTTTCACTGCCTGAATATATATTGCAAAGCATTTTACAAACATCAGGCTTACTTTGCAGCAACCATATCATCCACCAGTATTCAGCATAGAAAAATATTATTCATCACTCGATTTTATTGTCTAATAGCCCAATTATTAATTTCTATTGTCTAATAACCCCAGTCATTTCATAGTGGTATGCGCTGTATCTAAAAATCTAGTGATATTTGATAGAATCGGTGAAAACAAAGAAGAAAATAAATATAATTTCAATCACTATGCTAAGCCATACCTCTCCAACCACAGTCAAGGAAGTACCAGTTGGAAGTAGCCGTTCAATACGCTTGACTCCGAGCATCTAAAATCATGTATTACGCATCAAATAATCCTGAATCAGCAGCGGGAGTTTTTGTGTGTAAATGAAAAAAATGCAGAACAGGAAAAACCTTGAGGCCTTGGAGATAGTCTAATGTTCCACGTACAAGTGATCGTCCAGATTCTTCAAACACTTCACTTCCAACAGTTAATACAAAACCTGTGGCACTTCGGGCTCCCACTACAAATAAACGACCAGTCCCGTCCTCCTGAGAGGGCACCAAAAAAACCATCAATGTACCCTAAATCAGCAATGCAATTTACATACAATATCTCAATAATTTTAAGCCTTCATGTTAGGTTTTTTATATAGCCATTTCACTAAAGGTATACACAAGAGCAATAATCTTTCCTAGGAAGCAAGAGCGTGAGAAAGAGAGAGAGAGAGAGAGAGAGAGAGTCTCACGAGGTACCAAGGAACCTCTTTACTCATTGATAGCATCAATGCAGAATCTTGTATCCAAGACCCAGCATCATTGTGTTTCAGAAAGTGTTGTTCAGCCTAAAAAACAAATCAACAAAGAATTTTACACAAAAATACATTGAGGAACATCAATCAACAATGTAAATTATGCTATTTTTTAAGAAAATTAAAGCCCAACATCACCGTTTCCTCCACTATGACACCTCTCAACCCGCTATACTCGCAGCTAATAGGTGTCTCAGAGCCAACCCTTCCGCAAACCGTAACAATGAGTGGCAAAACTTTACTTTCAATGTCAAGTAATTGTGCTGAAAGGTCAAAGCAGATAGCAAATCATTGTTTGAGAGAGATATTTATTTTAAAACTTATGCCATTCACAACTAGATCAGCATCCAACATGATACAAGGACCTGTGTCTTCAGCATTAAGCTTAGAACATGAATGACAACAACATTTACATACATGTGTCCCAATCCATTTCCCAAAATCCAATCACTAACCCTTGAGCCAAGCAGGACAAAATTAATAGATGCTTCAAGGTGCATCACTATCCCAAGAAACATGTCTGAAGTTTATCAGAATCTGATAATTCATCAGAGCCAAATAACTAGTTACAGAAAGTGGGATACAAAGGATGAATATTAATATATCACCAGACTAGAAAATTCATTTTCATACACAATTCAGTCATGGACAACATTTCTTTCTCAGTGTAACACATTAGCATAATTATTACTCATTATATGATGATGACTAATAATCATCATCTTAACATGCACATCAATAAAAAGAAAGAAAAGCAAAATAACTATACAAGATTAAAAAGTAAAGCAGAGGGAAGTAGAAGTGGTCATAGGATAGTTAACGAGATTCGCATCGCTAATTATGTGGATTCTACATATAACCAAACAAACGAAGCAGGCCAACATTTCAAGCAAATAAAAACCAGAACAAGAATTACAAATTTACAAACCACATACCCAACTCCTTGAGCTGATCGACTCGCGTAACCGTCTTAAGAACCTCCGCGTCCCTTCACCACCGTAAAAAAATAACACAACGTCAAAGTGATTTTAGAATTTTGTGTATCATTTTTATTTTTTAAATATTGAAAATGATTAGAAAATGCGAAAAATAAAACGTGTTTGACATGTTGTCTAAAAAAAATAATTGAAAACATGAAATATAAAACCCGAAAAATGAAAACGTGTTCCACATGTTTTCTAAAACAGTAATGCTAAACTTACCGATCCAACTACCGACTTTGACATACCTACCCAACTACCCAAATCTCAAATTCGACTCAATTCACATGAGTCGGTATGTTAAAGTCGTAGTTAGGTCGGTAAGTCTAGTATTATTATTTTTGAAAACATAATGAAAAATATGAAATTTGTCACTTCACAATTGATAAACCCCAATTTGGTATTAATAATGAATGATGAATTAACCTACTAAGAACAGAGTATACATTAAAAATATTTTGATGCCAAGAAATATTTTTAGAATTTAAACACTCCACAAACATGTTTCTCTTAAGGTTCTTTACGCGTACGGCAACCAATAAGATGAGTAGAGCCACTGCTGAATGATTTGTAGCCCCGATTCGTTTTGTAATGGACCACCGTCCACCAACTTTAACACGTCTGAACTGGAATATCGAATTTCTTATGTGTTTTGAGTTTCACATTCTCTTTTTATCATTTTATTTGTTTGGGCTATGCGGGTGTCTTTTCAATTTAATACAGCACTTGTTAGATTCTCCTACTCTATCATAAACACGATTGCGCACTGCTCTTCTCTTCCATCTTTTTCAGGCTGTTCCCCAGAATTTATTATTTTATCAACATTAAAAACTGCTACATTATTTCTCACCAAAGAATATCTCTACACTAAACATGGTATCCTTCACAAAGCTTCACTCTTCTTTATAAACCCATTACGCCCCAGGCTGAGCTGAGCTACAGAAACATCGAACCAAGTGATACTGAATACACTTCACTGATTGTGTAACGATTTATCGTTTCTGTTCCTTCTCGCTGATTTCATTTCATGGTTTTACAACTACATTCCCTTTTACTTGTAAAAATATTATACCGATTCTTTGAACGGCGAAATATTAGCGTCCTGGATATGGAGGCGTTCTTGCACTGAAATTCCAAACTTCAATTTCAAATGAAACAAAATGCAGAGTGATTAAGGCCTAGTTTTATTTTAATCACTACCGTCAAATCATTGTTAATTTCTGTTCTAAAATTCATTAACTGCATTAGTTAAAGCCATGGATTTTTAACACTTCGTTGTGAAGAAACGCACGCTGGAAAGAATACGTAACAAAATATTATAATTTTACTTTATGACATGATATTATGATCAATCCCAACAATCAAATGAGATAATAAAACCTTACAAGATCAAGATACTGAGTAATAAAACGATGAATAACATACTGAAAGATTATTTATGAAACTAAAACACTCCACGAACAGGCATCTCTTAAGTTTCTTCACGCATACGGAACCAAGAAGATGAATTACTGGCAATAAACTTTATCCAGCAAACCCTTTTGAGCAGAGCCACTCCTGAAGGATTTGTAGCCCGGTTCTTTACTTCACGGGCCACTGCTTCCACCAACGAAGCTTGACATCTTTCTATCTTATGCTTAACACGATCGATATAATTCGAGAAATGATCGTCATTCTTTTGTTCACCAACATGTGAAGTATTCTTTCGTTCACCAACATGTGAATTAGTAGCTGTAATCTTCTTCTTCGCATGATAAATGAATTACTAAATTTATCTTCAGCATTTTCTCCCCATTGTACTTTTCACTCTGTCTCTTTGGCACCAGTCTTGCTTCCTTCACCATGCTGGATGATAATGGCACAAGTGTGTAGGCTTCTTTTGAACTGGAATCATTAGAGATGGAGCTTCTTTTTTTGGTGCAGGTGGTGTTTTTGACTTGAGTTTCTCATTCGGATGAGCAGAAGACTTGAATTATCATCTTGATGGAAACAACTTCTGCACCATCTCTGTTTTTTGGTGTATTGAGGGGTTTTACTGGCTTGGAAGGGTTGGGTGAAGGCATTGATGTTGAGGGTTGTGTGAGATGCGACAATTGTTCGGAAGGAAGGGCTGATATTAATGGCTTTGAAATTTTCTCACAGGTGCGTTGTTTTTCTTTTCCATTGATGTGAATGAAAGTTGAAGATATTGGAGATATATAATGTTTATGAAGAACTAATACAAAACCAAATTGCAAATGTGAGGCTGACGAAATTGGTATTTATACTGGCAATTGCACCAATAAGTGTAAGATAAAATATATAAATATTAAACACCTATTGATGTGAATCCTTCCAGGGTAATCTAAATTAAATTTCGCAGAAGAATTCAATGGGAAACTCGGGCTAAGATTCCCAGACACTGATATTTAAAGAGTAAGGGGACAACTTTCCCAGTTTTCAAAAAAGGAGGATGGCTTGGGATCATATTCCTTGTTTTTCTATAAACTATCACCTTGAATCAAACAAAATACAGCTTGAGCACGACTGATTAAAGATATAATAGAGCGTAAAGATATTATAGCAACGTTAAGACGACTTCACTGAACGTTCCGAAGCATCAGATGCCTGGTACTGACTACTTCTTTACCAAATTCAACAACGCGACGATTTGAGCTCCAAAGAAAGTTTTTGAGTTTTCTTGTAGCATGGGATTGGAGTGTGGGCAGATTCTCCATCCATCTGTGAAATTCTTTGTAGTAGTTGTGAGCTAGACCGAGTAGAGAAAAAATCAGCACATATGCTTCCTAGTCACCCAGATGGACAATCATGAAGCAACGCAACTTTAACACCTCTGAATTCAGACTTTAGACGCGAAACTGGAATATCGACTTTACTCTGTTTAAGTTTCGCATTTCCATCCCTCTCATTTTTATTATTTTTTCTCGGCTACTGCGATGTCTTTCAATTCATACAACTCGTTGCTAGATTCTCCTACTGTGTACTTAATATAATTGCGCAGTGTCTATAGTCCACGAGTAAAACACTTTTCCCACCCAAAAAGTTTCAAATACCATTTTGTCACCCAAATTTATATTATGTATATCCAATATATTTCACTTCTCAGTCGGCGTTTGATGAGTCATCAAGATCCAGGGTAGGAGGATTTTTGTAAAGCGGAGGCTGGTGGTTCGAATGGTGGTGATTGATTGAATATTCGTCATCGGAATTAGTCAAAAACAATTAAGAATAGAAACCTTAGCTTTACGGTAACCGACAATTGATGAGAAATCAAGTACCGAAGTGAGAGGTTTTGTAGAGAAGAGACCGGAGATCAAATGGGTGACAGAGAATTTTCGCCACCAAATCGGTTTATATTGAATAAATATAAATTTTGAGTGAGAAAATGGTATTTTGAAACTTTTTGGGTGAAAAAGTATAATTAAGGCAAACCTTCAGGTGGAAAAAGTCGTTTACCCGTCCGATTTTTTTGTAAATTAATAATAAAACTGCCAACTTATATCTCACCAAAGGATATTCTTCCATCTTCTTTGTTATCTAGAGAGATCATTATAATAAGAATATTCAAAGATGAAATTTTGTAACAGAAATAGAATAGTCTAGGCCAGACATGCTTTACGCTCCTACACCTTATAATCATTTTCATTGTTTTGAGGAAAATCTCTCAATGTACTCCTCGCCTCTCCAAGGAACGGTTACCTAAATTATAATTCCATTGGAAGCAAAGCCAAGCCAGGCAGTTTTTATAATCCCACAGACTTGCACATTTCTGATTGCTTATATGTACTGACAAGGATTCCCATTATATCATATAGTATACCATATAATGCAAAACACAAATATAAAATAATAGCACCAGCATATATCACTGGGATCTTTTGTAAACTAATTAAAACAATCATGTTTGGTTGGGATATCATTTTTCAAGAGGGAAGTAAAAATCTCTAAATATTTACATAGGAATGAATAATGAGAATTTACATAAATTATTTCAACCGATTGGCATTATGAAGAGAATTTTACACCTCCAGAATCTTAAATTGGTAAAAAGAAACAGATTCTGATCATATAAGTTTTTCATCTAGTACAGTTGTTATAGATCATAGAGCCGTAACTTCAATGCGGAATGTCTTCACCACCTGTTCAATTCGTCTCCGGCATAGAGGACAGCTGGTTAAGTGGTGAGGAGCATGCTGTAAAACAACACAATGACCACACCGCGATCATAAAGGTAGGGAACTCATTCAATTCAAAGGCCACAAGTACTCAAACGTCCAGGAAGAGAATTATTCCATAAAGTAAGTCCTTTGCTACTAATGCAATCAAATGAGAGAATAAGGGTAGACAACGAAGAAATAACACTCTGCTAATCGAATCTGTGATATTAAGGTATTCAAGGATAAAAAATGTTTATTGTGACAAGATGATCAATTTTCTTTTGTGATCAAAACTAAAATTCATCGGGCTTACGCCAATACGAAAGAGATAAACTACTATGATATATACCCCTTGGGGAGAAAAAGTTAATGGCATCTATCATTTATTGCCAAAGTGCATTTATATTAGGAATGGGCCATATACTCCAATTCTTAGTCTTCGAGAATAGTTAAGAATTTTGCAACATGGCATTGTAACCCAAACAAATAGCAATTCAGCAGTCTATATAATACACAAAACTACTATGTAACTTGCGGACAAAAACAGCATTGTACTCATGCTCAAGGCATATCACACATATATCGGCATCACACGGTCTCTCTTAGTACCATCTGACCATTCTCAGATGTTCCATTTGAAGCTGAAAACAATCGGAACTTAGGACTGAATCATATCCAACAAATTTTCAAAAACAACAATTACGTAGAAACCAGATTTACCTTCACTGTCTTTCCCTGATCTCTTAGTTGCGCAGCAAGAACCCTGCATGGGCAAGTTTTACAACTCAGTTTGTCATGATGAGATAGAGCAGAGAAGAGAGTAATTCCTATAACAATAATGTTTAGATTCT